CCATTAATTATGAAATGAAGGTCCTATAGGATTTTAGGTGGTACATGAGCATTGCACGATTATTCACACTGTCTGTGGGCAGAAGCAGACTTAATGTGAATATGTGGTGTGTAAGGATGACAGCCCTCTATAGTCAATTGACTTCTTACAAACTGAAAACATCTAGAATCCTCTTCCCGTGGTAATAGAGCTTTTTATTATTGTTGTTTAGCAATGAGTATAACTTTGAGCTTCATTAAAACCAAATGTTTAATTGCATTCACGGATATCAGATTTATTGATTTACTTAACTTTCCCTATATAGTCCTGCAGAATAATATATAACAGTTTCATATGGTGCTGTCCTAGCCAAGTTTTACTTCAACATCACAGTTTCTCAGACAAGTATGTGGTGATGGTTTATGTTGGCTATGCCTTTGCTTCTGCTGACAAGCTGGAAAAGAAAAATCCCATTTATATTTTGAGATTTCCTAAAGCCTGTTGATTTATGGGATATGACTGGCCTTGCATGAGGCTTTGTTTTGGGCTTTCTTTTTAAGAGAAACAGTATCACATTTGATTTTATCGACAATTTAAATAGTGGGATTATTCAATCAAATTGTATTTTCTTAATTGAGAGATTCTTGGCAAGTTCCATAGCAGTTAATAACAAATTAATTATTTAAGTTATATTTTAATTTCTTTTTCATTGAGATGGGAAGTTCTCCCATCATAGGCCATCTCAGACACACATTCCCCATGTGTCCATGTGGCACATAATGGCATACAGTGGGCAAATACCAGTGAGTTGTTCACGTTTGGAGCTGATAGCAGCAGTGGGGATGTGGTTTATTTGGTGCTGACCACCAGACATGGGCAGGAATCAAACCCTGTTGAGAGGTAGAGTAAAATATTAGTTCAGACTCAAGACCACACTGAAGTTGCTTCCAGTTGGCTTAGAGCCTCTGAAGTGCTGTCTGGATATGCTGCATGGTATAGTTTTTTTTCTTCTTCCCTCTTAGTGATGAAAGGGAGAGCGTGATAGTTCTAGATAGGGTTTGATTTGTCTCTTGTCTTCCCTGCCCAGCTCATTTGCAAGATCTTTCTGACTTCCCAGCATCAGTACGGTTTGCGACTGGGAAAAAATACTTATGCCATGAATTAGATACGTGATGACCAAAAAATGCATGCTTTGTATTGCATTTTTCCCAAGTATTTATAAGCTTGGGAATTCTGGTAGTCTTTTGCTTGGTAGAGGTAATGGTAGAAATCCAATGGATTTTGGTAAAAGCTGGTCATAAAGAACAGACACTTAGAATCATAGAATCATAGAATAGTTAGGGTTGGAAAGGACCTTAAGATCATCAAGTTCCAACCCCCCTGCCATGAGCAGGGACACCTCGCTCTAAACCATGTTACCCAAGGCCTCGTAGTTGCAGAGTCGCTGAAATCCCTTTGGGGCTCCTTGTGTAATTTTTGGTTGGTGAGCTATAGTTTAGCATGCTGTCTGTTTCCCACATTGGAAAACATCGGTTTATTTAATGCTTCTGAAAAATGGAAGAGTTGCGTCATCTTCTTTGGAGAACATATGCTGGTTCGGGAGTGTGGAGAACCATGTTCAAAAGGAAGGCACAGAGATAGTGTAGGAGTAACAGAGGCTTCTTTGAAACACCTGAAAGAAGGGGAAGGAAAAAGAAGTGGATTTATTTGACTTGCATCAAATTCTTAGTACTGAGTGACTGGTAGGTGTCGTTCATCTAATCCTGCCACACCAGCAAAAGAAATAAACCATAGATTCTGATGAGTTACATTTTTAAGGTGCTGTGCTTGGCACTGATTGATGGTGGGGAAAATGCAATTACAGGAAAAGAAAATGAGTCAAAAACAGAGAGCTGGCCAAGAAAATTCATGTTTGATATTCATTATCTTATTAGAGATGGTCACAAGCCAAGCGCTGATAGCTTGGAGGCAGCACTCAAAGGCTAAGTGTGCATTAAAGGAAAAGTATATTTTCCTTTATGCCGAATGTGCAGATTTTTTTGCACTTTGGGATTGCTGCATGTACAAAGGTGGAAGTGTTCTTAAAGGCTTATGCTGGATGGGAGTCTCGGTGCAAGTTGTATTGGCTGCCCTGGCTCTGGTGTGCTCAAGAGAAAACAAAATTAATTACTCTGGTATCTGATCATTTGTCAATGTAACAATAAAGAAATGAGAGAGCTTTACCCAGTAAAAGGCTATTACTGAGTCTCTCCCTTTCTAGTGTAAATTATTTAACTCTATTTTTTTAAGTTAATGTTCTAAGCAGGATAAAGTTTAACATTAACAATAAAACCCCTAATGGATTTATGTTGTCAGTAAAGGGAGATGGTCAGGCTGGCCCATTTCACGCTAATGACTAATAGACTTCTGCCTCCATCGCTGGTTCCAGCTGCCTCCCAAGTTAAATGATTAATTGCACAAGAGAAAGACAACAATCCTTATTTGATTGTGCTGATTACAGAGTTGCTGATTATTGGAGTAGAGGGAATACATTGTCCTGTTTTCCTAAGTTCTTCAAGGAATAAGGCAAATTGGAAGTAAAGCTGTAGGGTGTAAGGTTACTCAAATCATGGGGTGACCTGCTTGGAGGTCTCTCATATGTCATGTATGCTGTAGCGTATCCTGGCTGTAGCTACAAGGATTACTGTGATAAATCAGTACTGCTTTTCCAGCTGTGATCCATAATACACAGCATGCCTGTAAATAATATATCTCACCTGATTTGCCAGGGGTGCTGAGGAAGCTACAAACGAATTATCAGACCCTGGTTCTTGGTTCTCATCAGTAAAGCAGGCTCTTGTGAATGCTGCTGCACAGCCTTTAGTATCGTGGGGTTCCAGTATTTTTACTCTCAGACGTCTAGCTGTTCTAGTTAACAGGAAAATGGTCATCTCTTGGCATGGCTGAACTGGTGCTAATGATGTTTTATAGCAAAAGTGTGCAGTTAGCTTCAAATGAAAATGTCAGTTAACTGCTTAGAGGGCTGCAGACTGGCGTTTCTTCATTGTGCCTTGCTAAGAATAGAGCAGCTAGGGCAGACTTTTCCTAATAATTTGACTTTTTATTTTTAAATCAGTCTTTATAGTGTCATTAACTTGTTTCTGGGTCCTTCCCCTTTCTCCTTTTTTATCTTTCTTTAGCTTTCTGCAGAAGAACTGCATAGAAACACATATCAGTCTCACAATAGTTGTAGCGTCTCCCTTTTGTTGCAGAACAGATAGAAATAAAAAGAGCAGACACTTCCTGTACACCAAAAAGACACACTAATAAAAGACAGCCAGCCTAGGGCTGAAAATTATTGCTGTTCAATAGCATACATAGGCAGCACAGAGCAATCCAGAGGAGGAATTGAGGAAGAATGCCTTGGTCAATTAAAGGTTTCATGGAATTCCAGGTAAGTAGATTGTAATTATTGCTGCCGAACCTTTGCCAGTGCTTAGGGATTAATGTCGCCATAATTTAAAGACAGGGAAGAAATGTGTAGCACAGTGCACTATTCAGTGTAGCATCTAATTGCTAAATGCTTACAACACCCCATAAGCTAATGGTTATCCCTAGTTTAGAAAAGAGAAATGGGTTTTAAAGGGTGACTTTCCCTCGTTACACAGTTACCCAGCAAAACCTGATATGCAGCTCAATATAGGAATTATCCAGGCCCCTCCTGTGCAGTTGACAGTGTGTGCTCAGGATGCAAGTGAGACACGGAATATGAAATTGCTTTCTCTTACAGGAATTTCTATGTGATCCCTGTCTGTAAACCTGCTTCATTCCTTCTTATGCTGTGCCAGTCCTGCTGTAGCGTAGAGCAGTGTTCACACTCTGTGGTCTCACAGTTGCAGTTACAATTACTAATTGCAGTGATATTGTTGGAGATCACCCTGCTTTATGCCATGTAGTACCGGAAATCCTATTCCAACATGCCTAGACCATGGACACCCAAACCACACTGCCTGTGTTTCCTGTGCTGAGCTGAAAGAGCAGCCTTATGCCAGCAGCTTCCTCAGCATGAGGAATTGGGAAGATATTCAGCCTTTTGTAAACTTTGTTTTACTATAGCAGGTCAAAATAACAGGGCAGGAAGAAGAACAAGAACCCAAGCAGGGCTCTTATTAAATGAGTTGATGTATTAGATGTATGTATCTGATGTATACATGAAGAGTGTTTTTTGATTACAAGGCAGCGCATAAAACCCAGAATTGGCTATGTGCCCTAGGTTCTTCCACATGTCTCTTGGAGCATGGTGTTGTATTTATCTCTTCCTAATTCCCTTTTCCCCCCTCTTTCCTTTTTGCATACTGTAGCTCAAAGTACTGCAACAGGAGTGCTGTCATTAATGGAAAATCTTTGAGATCCTTAGAGAGCAGGTGGTATTGCTGTAAAAATTATTATTTTTGGTAGCAAAATGAATTAAACAGGAACCCACTGGTTAATATATCTGAGCTTCGTTCTGCTGCACCACAGTGCAATATTTAATAATCCCTTTCACTACTGCAATGCCTCTTTCATCTGGCAGAACTGATGCTTGCATCAGCGTTTGGTTTAAAAGGTATAATGCACACTGCAGATCATAATGAATACTTTCCCTCTGTACCTTTTCTTACAAAAGCATTTCACCATGCTTTTGTTCATTACTGTTTGCCATGGGTCCTCAGAAGCACACAGATCATGACTCCACTCAGCAGTGGCAATGCATCACTGTGAGAATGGAAAACACATAAAACACCAATATAATTTTGCTCTACACAACAGCACTTCAGAAGCGGCAAATTTTCTTTGAGCCATTGCTTCTTTTAAAGTATAGTGTGCTGCAATGGCAAATATACAGCTTTGATGTTTCCTGCTCCCCTCAACCATGATGTTATAAATCAACCTTTTGCTTTTTCAGACTCCATCGTTATTAAAACTTGTTGCAACTTTGTTGTAGACAAACATACGTTAACTGTTGAAAACCATGCATCTTCCTCTGTTCTCTTCTGTAACAGGGGAATTATTGCATTTGAAAACAAAAGCTACATTCTGGAGCCATTGGAAGGTGCTATAAGTGAACACAAGATCTACCGAGCAGAGAATTTGAAAATAGCCCCAGGATCTTGTGGCCACCAGCTGGACATCCCTGCCATGGGAGCTGATGACAATGACACATCGCACCATTCTCAAGCTGGCAGGGTAGGTAGATGATGCACTTTTATGCTTCTAGTTTGCTGAGCACATCACTGGTAGCATTTCCATTTCACTGCCTATCATAACTCTCTGTTACAAAGAGTCCCTACCGAGCAAAACATTAAACCATATAGTCAACTACTGTTGACATCATGTGCTAAAGGGCATGCTTAAAATTAAGCATGTATTTACATGATTTGCTAAAATTTTATTCCTTTTTCTTAATCCTGTGTGCATAGCTTGCTTTTTACTTTCCTTTTGGTAATGAGATGGCACAGAAAAGTTTATAGTTTCATAGTATGGTAATATATTTTGGTTCATGTATGATTATAGTTGGAATTTAAGACCCCATAAGGACACTGAACAATGTCTGGAAATGTTCTTACCCACCAAGGTGGAAGAGAACATGATAGCTGTGATGCTTTGCTAATATTAGGTTTTGAAACTTTACATTCTAGTAGGAAAGTATCTTATGCAGACAAAACAAATTCTCACTGTATTACCTTACAGATATATTAATGTAGGGTTTTCTTATGTAGGAAGAAATGCACTTAATGTGAAATGCATCTAGCAAATGGAAACTGTAGAAAATTAAATGAGGACGAGAAAATATTGTACTAAGTTCATCTGCATAGTGGATTGTAGGAAAGACTGGTTTAGGTGTTCAGAAATTATACAATGGTACAAATCTGAGCTCAGCATTTGATAGATGTCACATTATGGGATTTATACTTAAGTGCACTTTTGCATCAGGTTAATTGTTAGCCTACATGGCTAAATCCCTTGTTATCATTTGTGTGTTGGAACGAAGTTATTTTACTTTTTGAGAATATTAAATATTGCATCTAACATGTTAGCCTCTGAATATACCATTTTATGGGCTACATGTACTTCTAAAACTGTGCTTAGATTGGAAGCAACGGAAAAATACTTTTCACAACTTTATTGAAGTTTTCCTCAAAACCTTGCAACTTGACTGAATTTCACTGAAGCAACCAGTATAACATCAGGAAACTAAACTGTGCATGCAACTAGCTTGATGCAATCAACGCAATTTCACTATTACCCTCACAGTTCTCACATTTTGTTGATGGCTTCAACTATGTGCCAGAATTCACCTTAAATGTCTAAATAACATTTTTTGCTGTGCTTCACTGGACATAATTATAAAACCTGTCAACAGACACATCATATGGAGAGGTGCAATATATACAATGAGTATGTTGGATACACTTCTAATGTATAAAACTTAAAAGTTGTCAAATGTAATGTGTGGAGTGAGTTTTCGCATTTCAGTGTTGTCAACAGCTAAGTAGATTGTCAGGACATACTGAATAAAGATGACCTGTAAAGTATGGAGACATAAGGCTGCTTCAAATTATATTGGGTGACAGAAGTAAGCAGAAATATAGTTTCAGGTTCAGGGCACGATGAAAACTTTTGGTTTTTTGACAGGTCTGGAGGGAGCTTTTTGTTTGACTTGTTTTTTTTCCCTCACACAACTGCCTACACACTAAATTCTTATTGAGCAGAGCTGAAATGTGGGTTGATATACCACAGAGTTAGACTAGCCTTTGGGTTAGATTTAAATATAGATAAATGGTGGGGCAAACAGTGGACTTGGCTTCCCAGATCCAAGCATGAAATTTAATAGAGCAAGTCAGGTAATGTAGGGGATGTGTGCAGACACGTTTTGCCCTATTGAAGCTGAGTCTCTATAGATACTAGGTCATTTCATAACTCAGCAGACCCTCAAATTGCAGCAGTGTTTTCCAGTTGAGCTCCACTGGGATAGGATCTTTCAGAAATCAAGCCTGATGTGTAAGGCAGCCCCGACAATGTGGCATTTTCTCTAGCCACAAAGAAAAACCATTTTGGTGGTGCTGGTGGACCACAGATCATGCTGGTGAGCCATATGGGGCAAGTGGATCATAGGGAAAGGGAGGCTGAAACATTGTGGTGTGAATCCAAGCCATGCCAATTCCCAATATAAAAGCTTTGCTTGTTGTCCCTGGCCAGATTTAATTCCATCAGCACTTTAGCTTTCCTTAGCTGTATTGTTGACTCTTCATTTTAATTCTGAAGGATTAACTTAGGCAATGGACTGTGCATTGATGCAGTTGGCTGCAGAAAGCAAGCTGAAAGAAGTCATAATTAGATATATATTTTAAATAAATGTCATACCCAAGGGATGCACATAGCCTTTGGGCATATCACAGGAACAGATTTGTCATGCAAGTCGTTCATGTGAGGCTTGCATGATCATACCCTGCTAGCCAACTTCTGTGAGGCTAACTCTCTCCAGTCCAAAGGGTTTTATTCTTGATAAAAAGCAAATGGTTTAAATTCACTGATAGAACAGAGCTTTTCTTACACCTTTGTACCTGGATTTTCATATCTCATCTAGAAGAAGACTAGGGGCACTTTAGGTGTACATCTCTGATTAGGACCACATAATATATTTCAGGCCATTTTAGACTTGTGGTGTCTGAGAGATCAGTTCTATCACAAAACAATACCCACATGGCCATTTGCCTTATGTGGCATCTCATGTCTGACGTATTTTGCAGGGAGGTAAATTGAGCTCTGTCAGAGCATTGAAGGTTCTGCTGAAATCTTTTGAGACAGGGCAGGCCCCTTGGTATTTCATCTGCTGCTTTTCCAGGAGGGGATATGCTGACTCCTTGGTGTCCTGGTTCCCAGCCAACATATCACCAGGCGCTGCTGATGACCTGTGTAGCAGACAGGGCAGGGGCATATGCACCAAGTCTGTGCACACACCATGACCCAATGGTGGTGACAATTGTCCCCAGCAGAGCACAAGAAGGTGACAGAGAACCCTAATTCCAGGAGAAGCTGTAAGAATATGTACCTGAGCTCATTTTCCAGGCACAGTAATAAATGTAATGCCATGAAGTGTTTGTATTACTGATGTTCATTAATTATAGCTTTTATTGCTCTTTCAGTTCATAAATACCATCTAAATAGAACTTGATTTCCAGTTACTGTAGTTTGAGGGCTGTGTGACACTATTAAATATGAGTTTGAAAGTCAGAGTTACTAAAGGTTACATCTGTCGCTTTCCTCTAAACACAATGCTTCTTGTAAAACATTCAAAATCATTAACCAGCAGATAATAAAGAGGCAACACATTGGTAATGTGAAGAGAAGTTTGTGAAAGTTGGCTGGAAGGTGACATCCAGCACTGACTTAGCTTAGGGGATCACAGGGTTTGCTTTGGAACAGTTTGCTTTGGAAAGCTTTAGTCATGTTTTAGCTTATAGAGCATTAGTTTACTTCAAGCCTTCATGATCACTAGTAGGTCATACATCTGCTTAAGCTCCTTAAGTTCTGGCACCAAGATCAGATATACTGCTGAGACCTCTTTTCCAGAAACAAGGGAGGAATGATAGAGCAGATACTCAGCTGCTGTAAATCACAGAACTTTTACAGGCATTAATAGGTCACTTAAATTTAGGGTAGCAGAGGAACTGTGCTATGATTAGTACTATTACGAAACTATTTAATTTTCCTCAGTGATCTTTTTGCTGCTAAGCATTATCACTCTTTTAGACCTGCATTTAGAACTGCAAGCTGTTTTATATGAATACACAGATACAAAATGGAAGTGTACACCTTCCATTTTTAGAAGTATTAGTTTGCTTCCGCAGACACTAACAGTTCATTCCTTTCTTTTCCTGCAGTATTCATTCTTGGCTTTTTCTTCCCCCATACTTTATCAGTTGACCACTTGATCTCTTCTCTGCTTCACTCAATATCACTTTATCTCATTTTTCTTAGTAGCCACTTGGTCTACTATGTGAACTGTTTGCTAAAAGTGGTCTTATCGTTTCTTTAAATGTGCCTTGAAAGTAACAAAGGTCCTTCTGCTACAGATGATTTGCTCTGCCAAGGAAAGATAGCTCAAACATTTCAACTGCAGAGAGCTGAAAGGTTGAGACTTTGCACCACTTTCCTCCTTGCTGTAATATAATCTTGGGGTTGGGGGTTGTAAGTACCACGTAGACTATATGTGTTGTAGTAGATAAAAGGAAAACTTCCATGAGGACAAAGAATACAATAACAATTCGTATGCAGTGAAGTCTGAGATGTTGTGTATCTCCCCTTGCAAGCTGAGACAGAGCTGATTCCAAAGGTCACTATTGCAACAACAAAATACTCTTTTCATATTTGTTTGGCAGTACAAGAGGGAGACTCTGAAGACAACTAAGTACGTAGAGCTTGTTATTGTGGCAGATAATCGTGAGGTAAGAAACTTAAAGTTATGGGAAACATGGGTAGGAAATGGGTAGCTCAGCTCAGCTGCCATGGTATTGCCAATAATGTGCTTCAGACAGCAATATGATGATTTTCAAAAGGAAAGCTCCTTCCCTAAGTAGGGCTAAGCAATGGAAGGCACTGTCAAGATAGGATAATACTGATAGTCAATTGTAGAATTTTTTGCAATACCTCATAAGGAATTTGACTCTTAAATAACTGGGATATCTGGCAGTAGCTGAAGGAGAGGCAAATAAGAATTCACTACTCAAGATGTCCTTGAGCTGGTTAAGACTTTATTGCCATTGCCTCTGCCCTCGGCAGGACTGATGCTGTTTGGAAGACCCAGTAGGATCCTGCACTTGCTTTTATAGATGTACTTTACCATCACATCATTTACCTTCCTGATGGTTTGCAAAGAGAGCTTCAATGCAAGTAGCCAGAACTGTCTGTAGGAATGTTCCAGTGAGTTGAATGGCAGCCAAAGATGTAAATCTCCATTTGAGTTATTTCCCTGCTTATATTGTTTCTTGGTCTTCTTGAACACAGCTAGCTAGGGAATTATGATCACTTGACAGCAACAGCCAAAACAGCCAAAGAAGAGCCTTTTCTTCTCCACAAAACATCAGTCCCTGAAAGAACCCTATGTAAGACTTAAGAGATTTTAGAATCTTCTAGCCAGAACCAAAATCCCATCCCATCCCCTGTGTTTATTCTGAGGCAGACCACAGTCCCATGAAGCCAACAGGAGTCTGCCACTGTGTAATTCCCAAACTTCACCAACAATGCTGGCAGAGTGAAGTGGCTGTTGGGGGGAAAATGTGACTTTTGTGCTGCTAGTACATTGATCCTTTACATTCCAAGTTTCAGAGACAAGGCAAGGATGTGGAAAAAATTAAGCAGAGGCTGATAGAAATTGCAAACTATGTTGATAAGGTAAGAACATGAGCTTGATTTCACTTCTCCCAAACTTACTACACTTCCTGAAGAATGTTGCTGTGAAATCTCTGTTTCTTCTACTAGTAGGTTAAGAAAGCTGACATGCCCAGACCAGCAGCTTTCACACTCTTTGCCACATCTCTTTGTCCACCTGCCTTTATAAGGAGTTAACTCTGCTGTTCTCCTAATACTCCAGTATTTCAGAGCAATGCTTCTCTCCAACCAGTAAAAGAACAAACTGAAATCTTTTCTATACTGAAACCCTTCAATATACTGAGCTGTGAGCTTTGCTTTGTATGTAAATATACAATATTACATATACTCTATATAAATATGCAATATTAAATATACAATATTTGCTCTGTATATAAATATACAATAAATATATGAGGAGTGCATATATCTACAGAAGCATTATTCTTAAGGAGTTGTAGAATTTAGCTCTAGAATTCTATTAACCTGGGAAAACAGTGAAGATAATCGCGTATGGAACAGCCCATAGGAAAAAGATTCTTATGAGGAAGAATTTGGGGAACAAAGTCCTTTGCAGGAGCAAAGGATGGTCCAGTTGTAAGGCCAACAAAAGGTCTGTGATGACACAGACTGTAAGATATGTATCCCAAACATGATGGCAGAATTAAAAATATATAATGCTTAAGTAAGCAGAAGTTGATGGCTGAGTAAGAGCAATAAGAAAGAGACATATAGTGGATGGGTTTGGATTTGAAGTAATTTCTTGACAATAAACAAGAAACCTTAAGGGTCCTCTATGGTGTTTTTTGAACAAATTAAAGTTTATTTTTGCTGTGCTGTACGGCCAGAAAAGATTAGGTGTCCAGCAGTGAAATTATAACCGAGGGAGCCTTAATTTAGCTGAGAACTTATCAAGTGATGCTTCAAAGGCAATAACTCAAGAAGAAGCATTCTTGATTAAAAACAAGCTGCTGAAGACACCTCCACCTCTTCTGTAATTGTCTTGCTGACTTATTACTGGAGGACAGGTGTTTATATGTTACCTGCTCAAAATTAATTTTGCATATTATAATATATTTGTGTTTCATGCTTAATTTATGCTCAGCAAATGCCAGCGTTATCCAAAAGACTGTAATGCATATAAACAAGACAGATATCTAGTACATGCTTTTCTCCAGCTGTCAGCCAAATCTATTGATCAGTTCTTGAATCCTTCTTCTTATTAGTCTCACATTAAAATTGTTAGCTCTGCTCATTGCTAATGCTGCTGTGGCTCCCCTCTTGTAGCAACCGTGGCATTTACCAGTGGGATAATACTGTATGTAGCTCACTCTGCTAAAATCACTTGTTTTCATGTGCAAGACTGCATGACTTTAGCTAATTTTCAGCTATGGGTTTGAACCACAACCGTAGTACTGCAGTAGAGCTGCCTCTACCTCTTGAATTGCATTGGTGCTAATGATGGAGGGCAGCCATGGAAAGAGCCATCTGTCATAGCAAGTTTGGTCAGAAGTGAAGGTCATCTGAAAGTAGATGTATCTTGAAGGATGATACCAAACTTGGGAGGCACATAGAGAAGTAGTGTGACTCTGGATCTCTTTGAATGCTTTATGGGTATTTAGGTCAGAACTGTTTTCTGTAAGCCATTGAGTATTTCTTCTGAGTCAGCCCTATCAGACTACAAAAGAGACCATTTAAGCCTGTGCAAGAAAGGTTCCTATGCATGTTCTGTTGAAATACTTTAATCCAATGTGGCCTAAAATATGCTTTAGAGACATGATTATATTTTTCTTTTCTCATTAGTTCTATAGGCCACTAAATATTCGAGTAGCCCTGGTTGGAGTGGAAGTATGGAATGACATGGATAAGTGCTCTATTTCTCAAGACCCTTTCACCAGCCTCCATGAGTTCCTGGACTGGAGAAAGCTAAAACTACTACCTCGTAAACCCCATGACAATGCACAGCTGATAAGGTAGACTTCACACTGCATTTAAAACCAGCCGGGATTTCAGTGATTTAGGAATAACTGTAGTGAATTGTTCCTCAGTTGCTAAGCTGTTGGGAGGAACATCTGTGCTCCTGAGGGTTTGTCATTCCCCTCTGCAAATATCAAACATTAAAGAGCTTTGCAGAGAGCTTCAGCAGATGTTTCAGATGAATTTCCTTCCATACCTCTGCAATAGCCCTGTTACTTGTAGATCCTTCCTGAATACAACTTATGTAGAAGTGTAGATGTGTAATAAGCTCCTAAATACTTAGGGTATTTAGGTGTAAGCAGTTTAAGCTCCTATCAGTCGAGATTGTTACTGGAAAAGGCAGTCCTGCCTTCATCCCAAATGCTGAGCTAAGGGGGGGCACTATGTGAAACTGTGAAACCTGTTACTTAGTAGGAAGACCTCAGTAAACTTTAAAACACAGTCTAAATTGGAGAATTCATTTGCATTTGTGACTTACAAAATGAAATCATACACCTCATTTACCCTGCTGTTTCCTCAATTGTTTCAATTGTTGTTTCCAGTAATTGAATTAAAACATGCTCAAAGTAAAAGCACTATCAAAATAGTAAGAGAAACATCTCTTTCTTGAACCAGGTATCAGTTTGCTCAATTAGCTATTCTTTATATTATGCAGATAATTGATGATTTGGTAATTAAAAGAAGCTCTTTACTTATTCCATATGTATTTTTACATTAGCTGCTTAAGAATAGAGTCCTTCCAAACTGTCCCTCGTGAGATATTTGATTATTCTATTATATTCTAGGCTCTATATTATAGCAAGCAGTATATAAACTTTACACTGCATTAAAATAACCCTTCTTTGAGCTAGAGGCATTATTTTCTTGTTTCTATTTCTATTCCCAACTTCAGTCATGGAAAAGAAAAAGGAAAGAGGGGTCCTGTTACAGCAGTGAGCACAAAGGATGGTGATCAAATGGATCTTTCTCATAGCAGGGATGCTGTCATTGTCAGTTTGGCAAGTCGGCATGACTAATCTGTGCTTTTCATCGTTTTAAACCTGTAAATGTCTGGAGCTGCCACATTTGAAATGGGATCTTTGAGACTGACAGAAATACAAGGCTGAAAACACTAGGGAGGTATCTTGGTATTGAATGGTGACGCTGTGATTCTTCTCCTTTCCTGCCCTCCTGCAGCGGTGTGTACTTCCAAGGGACTACCATTGGCATGGCACCCATAATGAGCATGTGCACTGCAGAGCAGTCTGGAGGGGTCGTCATGGTAAGTAGTAAAAACACAGGGCTTGAAGTTGGCTCAACTGGTGCGACACGTTCTCAAGTTTTATAGTGCTATATTGTGTAGCAGAACGTCAGCCCCATTTGCCCCATTTTCAATCTCATTACCTGTATCTACATTCAGATTGCTTGTAAATGGTAGTTTCCATAGTGAAAAAAAATCAAAATATTGCATTAAAATGCAAAATTCTTTGTAGGGATCCTCTAATTATCAGTAAATCAGGTGCTGAGGTGCTGTGAAGGATGAGAACCAGAAGATGTATTTATTATGCACTTGGGTATCCTAGTATTACAGGCAACACCTATCCTGAATCTTTTATTATATTGATTTTATCCTGTATCTACAAAGTCTCCTGTGTAAGGCCTTATTTTTCATCTTTGCAGCATAGCGGTATTACATTGCCGGACAACAAGAATAAACAATGGCAGCATTTATTCTACCTGAGTCTCTCTCAAAGAGTATTACTACTAATGCTGTTGTTAGACGCTGGGCATGATGAATATAAAGGCAAACATATTGGGCAACTTTTGGAAGTTATTATTTTTTTTCCTAATTTTGAGCAGTGCTTTGTGCTAAGGAGGGGAAGTGTTGCATTAACTAAGATCTGCAATAGAAGTACTTTAAATAAAAGTCGATGTGTACTCCCAGAGCTTGCAGGCCACTAACAGGATCAGTTGGTGACCTCAGAGCTAAACTCCAGAGCAGAAAAGGCAGGGAGCCCTCAAAAACTCTTAGGTTGTCTCTGGGTTCAGCCTGCATGTGCTGAAAACCTTTGTTTCCTACAGCTTTGTTGAGACTTCCCGCACCTCAAGTGATGTGGTAGTTCTCTCCAGCTCTGCTGGACATCTCAGCTGCAGATCTCTGCGTGAATGAGGTGGGAACTTACTGACAAATGACAATCCAAATAGTGGGATAATCCCAGAGACAGTCCCTTTGAAGCTCCTGCTTTTCCTTTGTTCTTAACTAGAGTGCAAGTTGAGCTTGGTCCACAATGCATGGCCCCTTTGTGGTCTCGGACGAGCAGCCAAGCTGGGGTGATGCATCCATACATGGTATATGTATACACTTCAGATGGGGAATATTTAGAAGGTGGGCAGGGAAGCTGAGGTGTAGAAGAGCTGGAAAGTGCAATCAGATCACAGAATTTGGAGAAAGCCATGCCAAAATAATAGATAAGATAAAGACTTCAGCTTCCTGGTAGCTTTAGAAGCTGAGTCTCTAAGTGGTGTGTATAACAGCTTTTCATTGGGTACCTGAGCCATAAGTACAAAAGGAAAAGTAGGAAAAGAGGAAGAAATAGCTGTAGGAGTCTCGCAGTGCACTTCCAAATCTTGACAAAGACACATACAAGGCAGACAGCTCCATTTTATCCATGTCACCTTCAGGCAAGCAGTTCCTGTTTTGGCTTTATCTGCAGTCAGAGATGGCTTTAACAACAACCTTTTTATCCTTCTAATTTTTAGCATAAGCTTTAAGATCCTCTGCAGGGTGTTTTACTGCAAAGTCAGTGCTCTTCACTCTGGTAACTGTCATTTTACACAGAAACAAGAAAAAATAGTTCATTCCAGTAACAAAAAAAAACAAGAATCAGCATTTCTTAAAAGTGCTCTCGAGGCTCTGCCAGAGGAGACATTGATTTGGGTGTCCAAGAGAAACTCAGTGTCAGTGCATGACTCATGGGCCAGGCTGCAGCTCCAGTTGTGCAGGGGAACATGATGTTTCCCAGAGATCTCACCTCACTGAACTGAAACTTTTGAGGTGCAGGTTAGTTCAAGGCTTGCACAGCATAACCAGAAACTTTGCCAGTTATTTAAGCCTCAAAAAGGGGCCAAATCCGAAACAAGCACTCATCCCCAAAACCCAAATGGGCAGCTGCCCTTCCCCCAACCCCCCCCCCCAAGTCAATAAAGGCTGATTCAAGGGTAGATAATGAAGGGGTTTCTATATACCAGTATGCACAAAAGAAAGCTCTAAATTTGGAAGATACACACATGGAAGAATAATCTGAAGGCTATAGTGCTCAAATGTCTCAACACTGGACAACTGAACATTTGGTCATCCTTATAACTCAGTCACCCTCTTGCCCATCCCACCCTGAACATTCAATAACAAAAAGATTCCACACACTGAAAGAGGGAATGAACAGATTGCATGAGAGCTAGCATTTGAATACAGGAACTCTAATCATCCTTGTATGATCTGATTTTCCTGGTTGACTTTGCAGTTGGTCAGCTCTATGATCCAAATTCCTCTTGTCATGACTTCCTGAGAGCCTGTCCCTCTCTACTGTTCTGTAGGGGTGTATTCTCTCAGTGGTAGGTAACATTCTGCCTCTCACTAGTTTTAAGAGAAACTCAAAGCAGGGAGAGTAGTATCTGAGTATGAAAAGCTTTTGGTGTATCAAGAGCATTCTAGTTTTATTTTACTGTGATGGTTATGCTGTGTTGTAGAAAGACGAAACAGAAGCTGATGTTAAAGCAAGTCTTTGACATCTTACTCAGTCTTCATTCTTCTGTTTCAAAAGGCTACCCACTGAATTCATGGATTTAAAAGTAAAATGTTGCTGCAATGTAGTGTTGCCACTCATGGGAAGTTAGGCTAAATGAGAAGTGTGGAACTGTGGCATTCATATTTTGGTTAAATGAAATCAAAATATGGTTTAAGAAACTTGTTCCTGCCTGCATGGGAAGCACCAGGATTAGGGCATTTGCCTGTTCTAGCTGTAGGTGATTGTATTTTATTACTTACAATTTGATCTGAATCTCAGTGGAATGGAGCAGAGTTCAGCTGAAAGCAGCTGCATGTTTTGTGCAACATCTTATAATGGCTTAACAGTAGATGGTTGCTTATTCAGTGGTTGTGAAACTGTTTGGTAATGACTTTTACTGCTTAAGTTAACTTTAGAAGACCCTGGTGGGATAAATCAAAGTCATATTGCTATTCGTTCCTTCAGTCCTTGTGATACTTAAATGGTCTCAGTATCAAATGGGACATGTCACTGTTTGTTTTTATAATCTTCATTTATGCTGTCTTCAAATAACCTCTTTTGCTGAGACATCACATTCCTTGTTTTAAAAACCCTCTCTAGAAACTGATAAAATTGCATTCCAAGGGGATCTGAGCAAGTAATGAGAACCGCATGGGCTGCAATAATTGTTTGCCTAGTCGAGACCCAAATTACATTGCAGAGCGTTTATTGCTCTAGTTTTGGAGTGGACTGTGTGAATTCTTGGTTTTATTTTAATTGCCATCTTTAGGAGTGTTCAGATATAGACATTCTCTGCTCAGTTAGCAGAAGAGATACTGGCAAAGTAAAGAACTGAGCTCAGTGTGTTGAGTCTAGGTAGCCCAGTGTTTAGAGGAGTTTCTGTCTTGACCATGTACCCCTAATTTCAAGGCATCACTCCAATGTGTCACAGGTAAATGATATGGAATTATTTCATTGTTTTCTCTATCTTCGTTCCTGGATTTATTTCCAGTTGAATGAGAGGCTGCACTCTCAATTTCATTGAATTCTCTAAATATTTCATCAATTACTACGAGTACAAACATATCATATACCAATCTGCGACTAGTATCTATATAAGACATCTCCATAGGTGATCGTTGTGCAGAACTATGTGTTTCCTTGATTATTACAGCTTATCTTGCTGCATAGATTTACTCTTGTTTCTTTTACTAGGACAGGTTGTACAGCTTCTTTCAGCAAACAGGTATTTTAGCATATAACTGCAAACAAACTGCCTGTCGCAAGATTTGTATATTAAGAGTTTAAAATTCAGGTAAAGTTAAAAAGAGATCCTTTCTTAAAGGACAAAATTCTTTTGAGTTCATTCCCAGTGCAGAAGGAGTAGTTCTTGCTTTCAGTATGACTGCATTCTCTTTTTGATTTTGTTTTCTGTTTAGGAAATGATTTATTAAAGACATTAGCACAGACAGATGAAAGAAGCATCTCTTAAATCTACCCCAAGTCATGTATTAAGGGCTTCATTAATATATAGCTAATGCGTTAGACAGTTTTACCTTTCACTTCTTTTTAGTCTAAAGGTTGGCTTAGTTGATACTGGAAGAGTTATTTAAACTGAATATATTCATATATGCTTTTAGAGCAAGCAGCAGTACATAGTCATTCCATTTACTGACTGATAAATAGTGGATCATGCATTTATATTACATGTTTATGCCTTTAGGGAAAGCTTTCCTGTGAGTCCAGTGGAATTTTTTCCCCTTAAGGAGAATGATCGATGTGGAAAGGTCTCTTACTTGTGGTTAAGCCAAAACATCAGCCTGTAATGAGAACATGCAGTCAATTTCTCAGAAATAATTGTCCCAAAAATCAGCATTTCAACGAGGATTAAAGTTAATATTTCAATTTGAGACTTGGAGAATTTAGAATATTCATAAGTGTTAATAAAAGACCATCGAGGATTTTGATTTGCTTTATCCTTTCCTTGTAAAAAGGAGGTTTCCAAAGGTACTTGTTTTTTCTTACAAGGCTTGTGAAGTTTTGGACTTTCTGATATTAAAGAAAGAGTCTGAAGAATAATACAGAGACTGAGTGAAATCTCTTGCTGCACTGACATGAAGGACCTTCTCACTTCTACCTCATCACACTAATCCTCCCCCACAAATGATCACCCTTTCCAACACTCCACAGCTGGGTGACTGTTTTCTGCTACTGCCTTGTCTAGGGAGTTTGGGGTATTTATTGAACAGGAGAATATTAAGCCCTAAATAAAGAGATGGCCCAGAGGGTCAAAGCTGCCCAATGGTTTCCAGTGTCTAACGCAGACAAGGCCCTTAGTGACATGATTTAGTGGTGCACTTGGTAGTCCTGGGGTAATGGTTGGACTTGGTGATCTAAAGGTCTTTACCAACCTAGTTGATTCTATGATTCTGTGTGCTGGGGAATCTGGGTGGCCACGACAGATAGGCTGTCCTGAAATTCCCACTCTGCACTTGGTATATGTGGATGAATTTTAAACTGGGTCTGTTTAACAGCAGTGCAACTGCAGCTGCTAAGTTGATAAAACATTCAAGGTATAAGAAATAGGACTTTGGAGCGGGAATGTGTGTTCTGAAGTGTTTTCACATGTGGATTTGACTAGTTCTTTTGGTGTTTTTAAGGATCACTCAGAAAACCCTCTAGGTGCAGCCGTCACACTGGCTCATGAACTGGGACACAACTTTGGGATGAATCATGATACATTGGAGAGGGGCTGTAACTGCAAAGCATCTACGGATAAAGGGGGTTGCATCATGAACCCCTCTACTGGGTAAGTGCAAGGGAAAACACTGGGACGTCACAGTTGGAGTGGAAAAAGTTTCTTTCATTTCATGTTTCAGGAACATTTTAAAGGTAAAAACTAAAAAGCCTTTTCAATGTCTGTCAAATCTCACAGTTACCCCCTTGAGGTGAAACAATTAAACTTGTTATCAGAGCACAGCATGTACCATTGTACCTTTCTATGTTAGCAGTGTGAGAGGCAAAAAGGCTGTAAGCAACTGGTTAATTACAAACAAGAAAAGTTCCACAAAGCTGCATTGCAAGTAGTGGATGAGAATTTCACCTTCTCTCATCTTGCCAACTGAGTATCAGTCATAATAGGAAGCCGCATCCCAAGGCCAAGACTAAGACGTGGCAGTTTTAGAATGAGCAAATTAAATCTGTAAGGTCAGTAGGGTTAAGACAGTTCAGTGGCCAGAGGGAGATCTTCCAAGAAAAGATATAAGACACCATGGAAAATAAAGCCAGTGAACTCATGGTCATCTCCCTGCGTCCATGCAGAACCATTACTGATGATAAAGGCACTATGCCAATGGAGAAGCACAGCGGGTTTGTAGACACAAAAAGTACAGGCACCATGACCAGGGTCACTAGTTGCAGCTTGCTTCTCTGTGTTGTAAAGTCCTGGTAGAAACTGAATGATATATGAATGACTGAGTTCTCCATGTCCATATACAGACAAGAATGGGAACTAGATGATCTTAAGGTCCTTTCCAACCCTAACTATTCTATGATTCTATGATAGGATTAAACTGAAGTAGGAAGCAGAAGGTTCACCAAAGCTTTGTGATGGGAAGTGATGTGCTGGGCTGGACTGCCTGCAGAAATGTTACTGCCTGTGATTGGAAGCTGGGAAGAGCCAGTGGGACAAATATCGGTCAGCAGTGTCCTGTAGGTACAGCTGGATTTGTCTTAGGGCAAGAGGATGGTCTGGGTGATCTTGCGATGTCTCTTCCAGCTCCAGCATTCTCTGTGTGTGCTTGAATTTCATCTGTTGCTTAAGAATCTCTTCTGGGAATTGTGATCAGCTCAACCTCTGCCTTCTCTGAGACGGCATGTTTCTGGGAAAGGAGAACAGCAATGTGGGAGAGGCCAGGGAGTGCTGGGCAGGATTTCTCCCTGCTGGTCAGCCTAACAGCAGCCTTGGCGTTTCTTCAAAGGCATGCTGTCACCCTCCTTCAAGGCAGAAAAAGGGATCCTGGCCAGAGACCAAGCACAGCAAGTTAAGAGACAAACCAAAGAGAGATGTGTGTGTGTGTGTGTGTGTAGGAGAATGAGAGTGACTTCTACACTGTGGAAAAGAAAAATAACTGGGCTCTTCTGAAACAATAGGTAGTAAATATCCACATGGAATTGCATTCTGCAGCACATCAGGGCTTGGATGCACAGTGAAAACCAGCTGAAGTTGGAAATAGGGTTCTGAGGTGAGGTGAAGTGAGAGCTGGTAAGGAGTGGGCAGACAGGCTTAGGCTCTGAGCTCCAGACAGATGTGAGACCGCTTTAGTCATCTCAGCTGAGTTACTGGTTGGGCATCCAGTTACTGCATTTCAGGAAATAAATAGAGAAGATGCTCTCAGGACAGAAATGTCTGGACACTTCCTGAACTCAGCTTGTGAAGATGTCTTTAATGTGAGATTGGGTAGCTCTTGCCTGCTTCTGCCTCCTGCACCAGAGTCTTTTGGGTGTATCTGAAGCTTCCTCTGTGCTGCGTGTGCCAGTCATGGAATCACCACTGAAGCCTGGGATGGTTTGGGTTGAAATGGACCTTACAGATCAAAGTTGTAGCAGCTCAGCATGTTCCTCAGATACAACTCCAGGAGCTCAGCTCACTTCATGTTGGGGTTTCTGTAGTGCCTTACAACTTAAAGGCTGTGATTCCTTTAGCAACCCCATCACCCCATAGCTTGGGCGGTTTGGGGAGGAGGCCATCAGGTACACTTCAGCTTTGGAATTATAGGACCATAGGACAGTTAGGGTTGGAAAGGACCTTAAGATCATTCAGTTCCAACCCCCTGCCATGGGCAGGGACACCTCACACTAAACCATCTCACCCAAAGCTCTGTCCAACCTGGCCTTGAACACCACCAGGGATGGAGCATTCACAGCTTCCCTGGGCAACCCATTCCAGTGTCTCACCACCCTCACAGTAAAAAACTTCCTCCTTATGCTCCCTTTGGATTTTTACCAAACTTTGTACAAAAACTGTGCCTGAGGAGGAGTTGCGGCATTCCCAGGACTGAGTTTGCTGTTTTGTTTGCACTGATTATTGATTTATAAATGGAAATTTTAACATCAGGTTTCTAGCCTCGGGCTTTACCTTCATGCTGGGCTGTCGATCTATAACAAGTATTCTGGGAGAATTCTTTATGCCTGAAGCCAAACTGCATTTTACCAATTAAAAATTAATACTTTGAATATTTACCCAACACCTGACCAACAGCAGTATTCCTCAGAGCACCACTAGTCAAGGAACTGAAGAGATTTTGGCTCTGGAAGTACATGTCTGTTAAGGGAAGGCCAAGTGAATATTCCCTACCTGAAATGTACTCTTGGAATAGCAAAAACAAAGGGCATCCCAGGGTAGGCACAGACATTTAGAGAGATAGCCTGCTCTTTCAGTGTATTCATTGGCACTCACTCTGTGCACTTCTAATTTCTGTTGGTTTAAGGTAGGTTTAGTAAGTGCAAGGAAGCAAAATCTTTTGGCTGTAGCTGGTGCAAAAAGTCCAACCCCCAGAAAAGTCCTTATCTGATATCTAATAGGAGATATCTAGGTTATAGCAGAAAGGCCTCTGTAAACGTAACTTTGGAGTCATTCATGTGGTTGTGCAGCAAAAAGGAATGTTTTAAGGTTTTTTACAGAAAAGTGATTTCATTAATTATTGCCATTTCTTTCAGTTCTTCTGTCTCATTCTTTGAAGAGGGCTTGGAAATTACTTCTTGGTAGAAAGAATCTCCAGGGATCAGTGTGGAATTTAAACTCTGTTGGTTCTATCCTTTAATAAGCTTCTTATAGGTTTTACTCTTAAAAGATGCCAGCAAGATGTATACCACTTGCGTGTGAGCTGCAAATGCCTTAAAGATCCTCTACATTGGGAAAATATATTTTCTATAGCATGTAATTAAGCATATAAAACCCCAAAACTGTGGCACTCCAGGCTTTTTAGAGACTCAAATATCTGCTATGGAAATCACATAAATTTCCCAGTAGAAATTTGGGGATTTGCTATGAAAGTAAGATCAATAAGGAAATACTTAATATTAACACATCATTCCTCGTTACATCCATATGTTTTAATGATATTCCTCCAGTTCTTTCCAGTTGTTTTGACCGTAGACTGTTCCAAGTGAAAAAGAAGGATATAAGGAATCTTAAAGAGACTTGCAAATCTCTTTACTGAGATCACAGTGTCCGACAGCTAAGGCAGCAGGCTGAGCCAGTGAGGCCATTTCCGTATTCCACTTGTTTTCCAAGTATCACCCTGAAAGTTTCCACTCTTGGGAATGAAAATACTCTTCCTGACAGCTAGATAAATACTGAAGAGTTCTGGTGAAACCCAAGGCATTAGTCTAGATTTATACCACTGCAACGAAGAGCAGAAATTGGCACCAACTGCACAGCAAAATTATGCCCATTAGCAGTGCTTGTTTGTTTAGTCACTTTGGAAATGCACTTTCTGTGTGCTCCTTCATCAGAATTGAGCGCAGGCATCTCAATGTGGGGTTGAAATTGGTTTGAGTTTCCCCAAAGTAGTTGAAAGCTGAGGAGTTCATATAGGCTTGAAATTTCTTGCCAGCCTTAAGGGAAGCAAAATCTTTGTAGTCAGTCTTTTCCAACTCCTGTAAACCCAAGGGTTTATACTTCCCCTCATCCACATGTACATGTCCTTGCCAATAGCATGCTCCTCTAGTTTATATATAGATGACTTACACAACTAGCTTGTCATCAGGGAAGCTGAGCATCCTGGAAACACGTTCTTCCTTCCCTCTTACAGAAAGTACTCCTTGATGCCCTTCCATCACACACACACACACACACACACACACACACACACTAGTTTAGGTGTTAATGAGAGACCAGGAATCCACTAAGGACATCAAGTTTTACCATTCAGAAGCTGATCCCCCTGCTGTTTCCATCCCTTTGCTGAGTCCCATGACTTGCTATAATGAAAGCTTCTTTCACAGAAGTGTGTTGCACTAACCAGGTTCCTTTCTTGTTGCTGAATCATCCTGGCTAATTGAGATGCCAGGCAGACTCCTAGGATGGACCTGTTGGTTTTGCCTCTCTTTGCACTTCCACAGGCAGAAGCAGGTTTTTCACCATGAGGATGGAAAAGAGGATGACAGGAAGAGGGCTGCTTTGTAGTGTTTCCTCCATTCCTCTTTGCACCTGGCTGTGAGAATGGCAGAGATGTTTCTCCAGGTCTATCCTATTGCCCATGTCCCATTTCTATTGCCATCCATGTATTGTGAGAGGTAATACATTTTATTGACCTAGAAAGGTGCATGCTTTAACCATAGCCTAAAAGCTGTCTTTACAGCTATGAATCACAGGGGGCTTTTACACACCGCTTCAGCAAACCCCACTTGCCCCATTGCACTGAAACTACACATGAAAAAGGCAACCAGCTTGGAGTTTGACCTGGAATTTTTCTGTTCTAGTAGTTCCAATGCATATGCTGGTTTGCATCCCACTGGTGGCACAAAGCTTAGGGACAGAAAGCTAGTTGCTGCCATGCAGTAACATAAGGAAACAGCATCCCTGGCAGTGTTCAAGGCCAGGTTGGACAGGGCTTGGAGCAAGCTGCTCTAGTGGAAGGTGTCCCTGCCCATGGCAGGGGGTTGGAACCAGATGATGTTCAGGTCCTTTCCAAACCAAATCAGTCTGGGGTTCTATCATTTATGACTTCATATATTACAGGGACATGGAACTTGAAATGTGACTCTTTGACTTCATGCTGGTGGAAATGCCTGTGTTTTGCCCAT